CTTTTGTGCGTGTCTGTGAACCTTTAATCCTGTTTCTTTCTGATCTCTCAATTCTAAGTCCGATTAAATCCCTTAAACCTTAATCCTCTGAATGTGTGTGATCCCTTTAAAACCATGTAAAACATGCGTATAAAAAAATTAATGGGTTTATTTAATTTATGTGCAAAAGCCCCCGTAGCTGACAGATCAACTGAATCCAGAAGCCTATAGGACAAAAATAATAATAAAAATAGACAAATAAAGTGCAAGACCCTTTGGGGAAGACATGAAACACTGTAACAGATCTTGCAAACTGTTTGAAATCTCACAATTCTCAATAAAGGTATTTTTTTTATCCTGGGCTCATTAAGAATTGGAGAGTCCATGAGAGTTATTATAAACAAGCTTATAAAACCTCACTGCCGATTAAATTATTTTGCTGATTTGCAGAAAGGACGTAATAAAGAGAGTGTGCGGAATGAGCAGATCTTATCTTGTGACGGAGTGTGTAAGTGTCAATAAATCTCTCCACTTTTAGGGTCCTTCCAATAACATCAATAAAAACAGTCGCCCTCCTCGTCCTATTCTTGCATTTTTAATTTTTTTTTTTACCCAATCTGCATCCTTTTATTGCATTTAAGGGGAAATGTTCTTTCTCAAGATTTTTAATATTCTGACTACTTTTCCATTATTTTTTTTAATCAAATATGTTTTTGTGAAGTCTGAAAAATAAAATTAAATGTAGATATCCCTGCGTCTATCCTGGAACAGGGTGCCACCATCTTGTTTCCCTGTCAATCAGTATTATAAACGTTGCCCTTTTTTGCCCTTGAACATAGTTATTGGAAATATTGTGCCTAATTGTATTTAAAAAAAAAGTATTAATTGTAATAATAGGTTATTAGGCTGTGCAAAACATACAAAATGTCCAAAAGGGAGACTTTGGGTTGCTATTTGGGGTGCAGTCAGTCTGAATTCTCACTTTTTAATGTACAGGGTTATACAGGGCTTAGCATGCTACTCAAAGCAAAAAAAAGGTGGAGGGGCAGGCAGGGCTTGACCGCGAAGCTTTGAAGATGTGCATCACAACAGCTCCTGCTGAACTGGGCACTAAAGGCTAAATTTCACTGCCACACTGGCATTTAATCGAGGCTATAAGGCTGCCAAGTGAAAGAGGCAGTGGTGTTCAAACCGGGGTCGCAGGGGTTGCGGCTGTGACTGGGCCCGGCCCACTAGGGTATGTATACCACTGTGGCGAGCCTTTTCTCCTGGAGGACCCAGGAGCCAGCCACCTCAGGGCCCCACGTGTCACCTGGCGGGCAGGGTGGCGCGCGCGCGAGGGAGCACTCTCCCCTGTGTGCTTCCTCTTCAGCTCCCTCGTGCACCGCACTGATACCGGAGCCGGACGATGATGTCATTTTCCTGCTCTGGCATCCGTTTGTGGCGCGCGAGGGAGCTGAAGAGGGAGCACTCAGGGGACAGCCTGCCCGCCCCCCCGGTGACCGGCCGCCCAGGAGCCCAGCAGCACCACTGGACCACAGGGAATCCCCTCAGCACTCCAAAAGGTAAGGAGGCTGGGGGATTAAATTTAAAAAAAAAAACATGTGTGTGTGTGTTAGTGTGTTAGTGTGTGTGTTAGTGTTAGTGTGTGTGTGTTAGTGTGTGTGTGTTAGTGTGTTAGTGTGTGTGTTAGTGTTAGTGTGTGTGTGTGTGTGTTAGTGTGTGTGTTAGTGTGTGTGTGTGTTAGTGTGTATTTCTGCACTGCTAGTGAGTGTCAGTGAGTGTGTGTCTGTTATTGAGTGTGTGTCTGCTAGTGAGTGTGTTACTGTGTGTGTCTGTTACTGAGTGTGTTTGTGTGTGTCTGTTGGTGAGTCTGTTTGATATCTGTTAGTGAGTGTGTGTTTGTCAGTGAGAGTGTATGTTTTGTGAGTGTGTATGTATGTCTGTCGCTGAGTGTGTCTCTGTCAGTAAATGTGTGTGTCTGTTAGCTAGTGTGTATGCGTCTGTTCGTGAGAGTCTGTGTGTGTCTTCAGCACTTACCTTTCTCCAGCGCCGGACTCCCTTGGCGCTGGGGATTCCTCCGCCTCTCAGCTCCGAATCCGCGGCAAGAGCCGCGCGCATATTCAAACCGCCCATAGGAAAGCATTACTCAATGCTCTCCTATGGACGTTCAGTGTCTTAGAATCGCAATGAGACAGCCACTAGAGGCTGGATTAACCCTCAGTGAAACATAGCAGTTTCTCTGAAACCGCTATGTTTTCAGCTGCAGGGTAAACTAGAGGGAGCTGGCACCCAGACCACTTAATTGAGCTGATGTGATCTGGGTGTTTGTAGTGGTCCTTTAAGTGTGTGTGCAACCCCTGCGACCAGGTGCCCGCCGCCATGTGTTGCAGCCCCGGCCCATGAAGAGTAGACGTGCGGGGGGGCCCACGGATCAATTTTCGCACCGGGGCCCCATGGGTCATGTGTACGCCACTGGAAAGAGGGCATCGATACAAACAGACAGCTCACAAACAATAAATCAAGCCCAATTCATGTCGCAGCCTACCAGCATGGCAGACGCCGGGGAGACGGGCGCTCCCCAGAGGCGACACCAGGCCGGGTGCCCGGAGGTGAGCTCTCATTCCCCCCCCCCCCAGGACCAGTGGGGGTCATCCTGGCCCATCCCTGCATAACCCCCCGGTGAAGTAACATGCCAGCACAGGCTCCAAGGAGCCCCGAGCCCAGGGTCCCTACTGTCTCTAAAATGGCAGAGGCCCGCCAAACTGCTGACCCTTCCGATGCATGACGGGAAACTGAAACACGTCTGAGCATCATATTCTCCGCATTTTGGGAGAAGCTTGAGACCCATATGACACCCTCAGTAGCTGACAAACCGCCACACTCAATTCCACAGGGCACACCAAGAGAGATCGGGCAGAGCACCGCAGCAACCCCACATCAATGCATAGCCCCGAGGGGCAAGCACAAGAGGAGTCCCTCTCAGGACCAGGCCCAAGAGACCACCAAGGAAGTCGTCAACAAGACCTTGCGTCCAGGGGCAAGAAGAGGAAGCCGAGCCAGTCACTTGCAAAAGCCCTATCAAATGCCGAGCCGGAGAAGAGGAAAGGGACCCCCCCCAAAAGCTTTGTCATACAGTGTGACTGCACGAAATGGGACTTTGCTGTACCCCTGGCTGGCATAGGCTGACTGGGCATCCAGGACTGAGCCGTGAGTAGGGCCTTTGGCCGCCTGATATCATAACATGCTTAAATAGCAGTGCTGAGGCTTATCACCTGTATATATTGTCGGACACTCCAATATCTAATAGGCATATCTACCATATGCAAATCTTACTGTTTATACTGTTTATGCATATATCCTAATGTCAAACAACCTACTACTGTTGAAAGCAGACCATACAAACTAATCATAAGCCCACTCGTTCTACACACTGACTCCCCCAGGCCATAAGTCCATTAGGTCAGCTAGTTTAACTTAATGCTTATCAAGTGGTACCACTAACATGCTTCTGGGATACACCTTAAAAATGCATACCTGAGATGTGATAGCTAATTCAGCATACTCACCTTCATACTACCTAGCCTATTGCTTTAGGGTCAAGGGGGGCACATGTTATTCTCAAGATGCATACCACTGTTTAGATGGACATAGCCTAGTATGCTTCACTATTCCTAACCCTCATGTCAAGACTGCACCTTCACCTAGCAGAGGATTATGAGGAACACTAGCATGATCACGATGGCGGGTTGTGAAGTTGCTTAATATGAGGACATTTTAATATACCCCTGACTACAACCTACTACTGATTATTGAGCATTTGTGATGTCCCGAACTGTTCGCCAAATGGTTCGCGAACGGTTCGCCACGAACGGTTCGCCACGGACTCATCATTGAGTAAACTTTGACCCTGTACCTCACAGTCAGCAGACACATTCCAGCCAATCAGCAGCAGACCCTCCCTCCCAGACCCTCCCACCTCCTGGACAGCATCCATTTTGAAGCTGCATTCTTAGTGAGCTGTCCAGGAGGTGGGAGGGTCTGGGAGGGAGGGTCTGCTGCTGATTGGCTGGAATGAGTCTGCTGACTGTGAGGTACAGGGTCAAAGTTTACTCAATGATGAGTCCGTGGCGAACCGTTCGTGGCGAACCGTTCGCGAACCGTTCGCGAACCATTCGGTGAGCAGTTCGGGACATCACTATTGAGCATGTCCATAGCTTCCATCTAAGTCTTTCGCCCGTCATACATGGGTCACTAAGCCCCATTACTCCTCTCCTACGCTGGTCGCTGAACTGATTGCATGTTCCGCTTGTTATAATGATGTACCATACCGTATGCTACTAAACCTATATCAGTCACGTTACCTAATTTCTTGTAACCACAACTCATGCTATTGTGACTCGCATTTGTTGATTTGTTGACCTACTAAGCATTACTCTAATGTTAAAAAAAACTAAAAGTGCCGATAATCTTAATGCTTCACCTGTTATGCTTGTTGATATGCTTTAGGAATGTTGGGGCACCACGAGCCTGTATGTTTTTTTTTTTTCACTCAATGCACATTAAAAATAAAGAATAAAAAAAAAAGGTGGAGGGGCAGGCAGCGCCACAGTTGAAAAAAAAACAACCTGATTATAAACTATACAAGCACATATACAAGACACTACAAGCTATACAAGCACATATAAAAGACTTAGGGCTTAGGGGAGAAACGCGTTGTGATAGTTTAATTGCTATATTTTATTAAAGGTATTTTGGCCACTTTCAACTTGTGAGTCAGCCCTATTACTCTTTTATTTAGTTTTACCTTTATTTTTACCTGGCACCAGAGTTTTTATTGTTCCAATGAGAATTTTACTCCAAAGAATCATTGGTGGGGATTATACCACTCAAGCTTTATCCATTGAGCAGTCTGCCTGCTCAATAAAATGTGAGTAACCACTTGGTATTTTATTATTTCACCTCTCGCTTTTATACAATAAGCACTATTATTTTTTATCTTTTCATATTTCATATGGTCCTTATACCAACAAGATATCCATCTACTACAAAACTTCACATATCCAATGAGTGAGGATGGTACGACTGGATGCAATCCACACTAGAGCTAGTCTTATAGCTCTGGAAAACGTGAGTAGGACCACATATACCTATTACAAAATAGTACTTAGTACCTGTTGGGATATATGGCACCATTATTTGCTGTCTTTTTATATTTTTTTTCATACGGATCTCACGAATATCCCATGCCCATACCTTACTGAGGAATACTTCCCCTGACAAGATTGTGATTGTCATCTTGTACAAGGTTTTATTTGGACTTTTTGCTGTATTTATCAGGCATTGTCTCTTCTGGACTTACTTTTTGGACTCCTGATTATTATTCATTATCTATATTTCAAACAATTAAAAAAAAAAAAATCTTATATGTATTTTTTCTTATATAGTGTTTTGTATATGTGCTTGTATAGTTTATAATCAGGTTTTTTTTCACCTGTGGCACCGCCTCCCCCTCCACCTTTTTTTGCTTTGTCTCCTCTATAGAGCCTGTGAGGGAGCCCTATTTTTCAGGAGTGCTGCCTTATATTTATATTTGTTACGGCTAGTATATTAGCGCTGACCCTTTGTACATATTTTAGCGTGGTACTGGCTACTTATTAATCTTCTATATTATGCTCCTTTTTAATTTTTCTTGCCCTAGGAACTTACAATCTAATTTTGCTATCTGCCGAATATTTAGATTGCTTCCTTAAGGAGGTGAACAGTGGAGCTAAATTTCTGATTTCTTATGCAAGCACGCAAAAAGACCCCCCAAGCAGATATATTTGAGTTACTCATTTTATTACGCCTGCTGCTCATTATATGAAGTCAATTAAAATTTATTTTTGAGCTGAAACAAGACAGGGTTTATGTAAATTACTTTTCAAGCTAATGCAGTGTGATTACAACTCTGCACGCGGGTGGGGGGAAAGATATAAAAAAAAGTTGGCAATTGTCTGGGTGTATTTGTTAAATATTCTGATAATATGATATTGCCTCAGAATAACAGATCTTTGCAAGGTTCTTTGGGACAAACACAAGGCAAAAAAGAAATTCTTTTTATTGCACGTTACAGTTTTTACATTACTTCTTTATGGGAGCAGGGGGCGCTCTTCAGCCAAAATAAACCTCTTTTTCTCATTTTCTTCCAACACAGAGAAACACACCCTAAGGATCTCTTTTTCTATAAACCTTCTTACTTAAAAAGCCCACAGGCTCCCAGTCAGCAGCTGTGTGCGGCCCGAGTCTTGTGTTGTATCACTATATTGTAGGCCTAGGGCATAAAAACAATTCACTTTTATTGAGCTCTGTGACAAGACTGCCTTTAAACCGAGCTCCTGTTTTATTGCTTAACCAGTGGCATGGCACACAACAAGAGACTAACAAAATGGATTCTTCGCCATTTGCCCGGTTTTAACAAACAGACCTATTAAGTCACATAGCTGATTTTCTCTGGGTCCTCCATCCCAATTACCCGACAACCCCACGCAGAGTCGGAAGGGCTGATGGAAAGTGCCTTGTGAGGTCATGTTTTGCCACACTTGCTTTACACTAAGTGTTAAAGGGACATTCCGATCACCATAGCAACTTCACCGAAATCCAGTTGTTATGGTGCCACGAGGTCACAGGCAGCGACCGTTAACAAACCACTCTTCAGTGTGGTGCTGGTCAGCTCTGCCCCCAACTTTCGCTGCAGTCTGAGGTTTCAAAAATAGGGGTGCAGCTGATATTTTGAGAGTGTCAGCGGAAAAAAAACCTCACGCACATTTCTCACTCCATTTTGTGATTGGGTAGTTACTGATAGGCTGAGAGTATCAACTGGCGCTTTTAGCCTATTAGCAGTACCCTCATTGACTGCAGCATAATCCCCTGTCACCCCTGCTACTAATGTCCCGATCCGCGTTTCCCCCGAGTATCGGCTCCCCTTGGAAGAGCCGATACTCGGGCGAAACGCGTTGGGACATTAGTAGCAGAGGGTGGCAGGGGTGACAGGGGATTATGCTGCAGCCTACATTTCTTTCCCGGATTGGCCACCCTGCTATATTATTTTAACAGACCTTTTGATGTAGCCACAAGGTAGTTTCGGCTACATCTTTCGTTAGGGGGAAAGGAGATTTTGCTATTACGTTGGCACTGGGTGATGGGAGTTGGGGGATTAGTTACCTAACTGAGGTTTTTGGTATACTGATACTATCTCTTTATTTTTATTTTGGGAACCCCTGCTATTAACTGATAAGGATAGTACTGTTTAGCATTTATCTCCTGTTGTTTGTCCCCCCCAACCCCTGTTTTCTTTCACTTTTCATTATGATATATAGGGATTTTAACTCTATACAATTAACAGTTATATTTTATTCTATTTAATTTCTACTAGTGTAGATGGGGTTGCTCCAATATTTTCAAAGCTTGAAGGGGAAGTGTTTAGATCTACCTATTCCCTTTCTGGCTTTGTTTGGTCTCTCCTCTTAGTTATATTCTACCTAGGGGTTACCCCCCCCCCATTAACCAACAGCAACTTGACACATTCTCTCTATTCTTTCTTTAATTCTGCAAAGTTCAGAAGACTTTGGGGTTAAACCTTATGTTAATGCTTTAATTCCTGAAGGTAAGCCAGGACCAACGACCTCCTGGCACCATAACAACTTAATTACGATTAAGCTGTTATGGTGCCCAAAGTGTTCTTTTAATATCAGGGCTTTTTAAGCCGTTGTACAAGCACTAAAGCAGCGCTCCATGTATAGGCAGCCCTGATTGACCGAGTAGCCTGTTATTCTGGCGCTCATGCTTGCTAGGACTCGCTGGGACATGACGTTGTTTGTGACGCTGATTGCTACTTTGGCCTTAAATTTGAAACTCACTTTGAATTCACGATAATTCTCCCTGAAGAGCCCCCCTTTAAATCTTGTGTTCTGAAGCATCGCACACATCTGTTTTCCAGTATTACCTGCAAAAAGTTGCTCTGTAATTTTAATTTTTACATCGAGGAATCAAAAAGCAGTTTGGAGTATGACCCTTGCATCAGGAAATTAGGAATATGTGGAGTGAATCACGTCGCTTGACCCAGACATTATGTGCGATCTCTATTTTTTTTAATGTACTGTACTTTTCTTCATATTTTTAAGCTTTAACTTATTTTTATATAAATCTACATTTTGATGAAGCAGAGGATTTGACATAGGCAATGTGCTATCAGTTAGTGTTGATAATATGATGGTATTGATAGTGAAGCTAGGCTACGAGTGATGGGAGTTACCTTCCACAGTATCTATGCTATGCGCATTAAATTAGGAAGCAGAAGCTAAGGGCTCACGAGTGTGGACTGTAAGCATGTGCTCTAAGGATTCAAAGTTAAGATTAGGATACATCACAGTATCGCATGACGTAATGACGTCCGCTATTATGAACGGTGCTCTTTCTATAATGAAGTTCAACCATTTTAAATCACTGCTTTGAAGGAGATCTACTTTGTATGGCAAAAATGTCAGAAACTCAGTCATTGCATTCTGAGTAATTCCAGGAAAATAGAGCATCTGTCAGGTCTGGGATATTTCTAAATTCTGTGTGTGAAGCCTGCAGAGATCATTAACCTCTTCAAAAACATCCCCCCTGTCTTCCATCTGAAGAGCATTTTCTAGTTGAATGTAATGAAGAACGCATTGGATCAGAGTACCAAACACACGTTCTGTGAAGGCATAAAACAGGGATTTACACGAACACTTTCCGGTCTTTCCTGTTTTATTTCAAAGACATTTCTGCATGTAATCTCTTGAAAACACTTTATTATGTACAGGCCTCTCAACCGTCCAGAATTCGGCGGGACATTTCCAAATTTCGCGTCCTGTCCAGCTGTTCTCACTTAGTTCCCTGGTATTCCACTTTTGGAAACACCAGCAAACTGTCCCCAATAATCATAGCAGGAGCACATTGTTATAAACAGTGCTGCCTTATGGTTCTGCCATTAGTAGGCTGGCTGTGGGATTGACTGGCTGCCTAGCTTGCATTCATGTCAGGCTGATCTGCCAGTTAGTCAGGTGGACCCTACC